CTCAGTAGTAGTAGTGGTGGGGATGGCTCGCTGACACTGGCTGTGCTGCTGCTGCTGCTGCCGTGTGTTGTCGGGTTGTGGTGGAGGAGGAGCCAAGCGCGAGTCGACCGAGGAGGTGGACATCGACCTGAAGGCGCCCGAGACGGAGCGCGCCGCCGTGGCCATCCAGAGCCAATTCCGCAAGTTCCAGAAGAAGAAGGACGACAAGAAGGAGTGACAACGACGACGACGATCGCGCACGACGAGCAGGGCTGACGACTTTGCGACTCAGGGACGACGCCCGAAGGAAGAGACGTGGGGGAGGGGGAGGGGTCCAGGCACACCGTGAGAGGCCACTAAGACGCCTTGTCCACACCTGGGTGGTGGGAGAGGGGAGCTCTTTATTCGCGGGATTAAAGTTCACCGTGTGGTCACCTGTGGGGAGATGAGATCATATATATATAGAAATAACAAAAAAACTAACGACAATTCTATAATTTAACTGGATTAAAAAAAATCGATGAAAATTTTAATCCAAAAAGTGCTTTAACGAAACCAGCGTGGGTCCTGTGATGAATAATATTGTAATAATAATAATTGTTATTTCGTATTGTGACGCGCCGCGCAGTATTCAGCCACTCTCGTAGAGAGAGAGAGAGGACGACTCGGAGGCGTAGGAGGAGGAACTACAGACGACGAGCGGGAAGGCAGCAGCAGCCAAGCGTTGAGCCGGTGCTACCAATAATTAGCTAAGCTCTGCGGTCCTTTACATATGAACATTATCGCCCAATCGATGAGCATTTACACGTGGGAAGAAACCGGACTACCCGGAGAAAACCCATTCGTGCGAGGGGGAAACACTCGATCCCATACAAACGGAACAGGCGAAGTCCACATTTGTGTTGCAGCGTCTTCCCCTGGCGAGTCAGGGCACGGCAGCTCCTCGACCCGCACGGGACGGGAGTTTCGCAACATCTGTGTGCGGTGAACCACCAACCCCTCACTGCCTCCGCCGGCGCTAGCTTCGAGACAACCACGTGCATACCCACCATCGTAGTACACGTTGCCAGGTGTTTGCACAACACCACCTTCGTTCAGTGGCGACGAATTTCAGGGACGACTTTAAGGGGTGATGACGAATCTCGGCAGATTGTAAAAGGCGTGAGATGAGACTCGGGGGGGGGGGGAACGATTGGATTAAGCGTGCGCCCCCCTCCCACAACACCCCCCTCTCCAAAATCCATTGCCTCTCACCTGCAAAACAAAGAAATCGTGCTCCAGGCGGTGATGGTTGTTGTTGTTATTTTTGAAAACGGAGGAGTGCGCCAGTCGGGAAGACGCAATAAGGTTTGCCACGACGCATCGAGTCGTCGATTGTAATCATCGATTCTTACGATCAGAAACAAATGCACGCATCGCGTTCTCCCTTGTGGCAATCGATTATTTAGCCGTGTACGCAAAGGAGACGATGCTCTTCGTAGTTACGTCTCAGTTAATGGGGAGAAGTTAAACAAATGGGGCCATGTACGGGTGGTCCAGATGTCTCGTGACCCCCAAATGAATTCACCCCTCACATTGTTTTTGTTCCTTTGCATATTCATTTATGTTTTAAATCAACTTTTAAAAAATATATATATTAAGTTTTCGAGAATTAAATCGAGGTCACGAGACATTTGGACCACCCTGTAACTTCATCGTGACAATTCACGATCTGCTGGCAGTGAGTTCGGCGGCGACACGCGGGACGGTGGCACGGGCCCAGCGGCCGCGCGTTTCGCCGCTCGTTGCAGGTTTTTTTTGCGGTTCGAATCCAGCGGCCGCCCTGGTTATTACCACGGGTGCAATAATAATAACGACACTACCCACCGTCTGCTTCACAGTGAACGTTAAAGATCCATCCGGCGTCATTGGCAAGCGTTAGGCCAGGGACCAAATGTAAAATCAACCCGCAACTTACTCAACTGAGATTACGCAGGGCACCGCCGATTAGCACGGTTTGGCTACATGCGGTGCAAAATTAGCTCAACATACATAAATACGGAGCAACCATCTCCCCCCTTACTGGCAGCTAAGGCTCGATTGCAGGCCAGGTGTAGAATCGCAATGTGGCCGCACAGGGACAGCTGCCGCTGGGCGTGTCCTTTGAAGCGTGTTGAGGTGAGATGCGATGATTTTTGTGAAGCACTCCGGCGAATTGGAAGGGCGCTCTGTAAAACCGAGACAATAATAATCAGTGTGACTGATTATTATTATCTGCGCGGTAATCTGCTAACGGCTCTGGCTGAACCACCTGGGTTGATACGATGGTCTTTAAACGTGCGACTCGGCTGGAATGACAAATAAGCTACGTTGGGCTTTGCAGGTGACGATGCACATGGGGTGCAAATGATGAATGAATTATTTGCGAGATCCGGTTCAAGATTCCTTCCTCAAACATCGCAGTGGATGTAGCGGCCTCTAGCGGCTGCATGTGACACGCGAACCATTTGTGTTAATACTCTTTGGTTCTATTCGGTAAGTCACGTAAAAGTATAAAACAAAAAATAAAAAATTCACGACGTTTCGGCCACAACACAAGTGGCCTTCATCAGGTGAAGGGACCAGACTGTCTCGAGGACAGCGCTGGAGTGAACACAGCCAAGCTCAGATCTGCTTCACAAAAATCATCTGAGCTTGGCTGTGTGAATAGAACCAAAGAGTATTGATCCTTGCAGTCACGAAAGCTTCAAATCTACATTTGTGTTAAATTCAGTCACGACTTTTTAGGTCTCGAGCCACCGGTCACAATGGCATCAGCACATTGGTTAGAATGGGATCAGCACATTGATCCGAATGGGATCAGTACATTGGCATGGTATAAATAGTATCCGGATTTCTCCAGAATAAACAAATATTTTCTAATTCTGATCATCGTACACGCGACAATCTCGTCGGGTGGTGGAGGAGTTCACGACAAGGATTTTAGCATTAAGCTAGCACCACCTGGCCTAGCACACAAATACGGATCATTACAGGCAACCTCGAACTTGAATTATTTACACATTCGTCAATAATACTGTGGCCTTAAATAAATACAGTACATAATAGGCGACGTTTTGGGCAATGCCCCTTCTTCACAGCACATAGGTCAGAGCGATACGAGTGGATGAAAGTTGGCGACAGCACTTTATATACCACGAGACCGGATTAGAATTTAAAGGCACGATCTTATTGACGGATGTGATGAGCTTGTGTGTGTGTGTTTTAGTGAGTGAATTGTCATTGCACACCCACTACCAACGAAGCAGCAGCAGCATCCCGACTAATTTTGCTGACCCCTTGACCTGCGAATCGTCGAATCCGAGGTGGATCTCGATGCGTGTTATCGTCACCCACGTAATGACGGCGCGGTTACTCGGGGGCTGTGAGCCGGAGAGAAATGGGATGCAAGAACTGGGACGGGATGACGATAGGAAGACACGAGAGCAAAGAGGCACGGGGTCCCGGACACTGGGAAGAGGAGAGGAGGAAGTGGAGGAGGAGGATGACGATGACGATGCGGGAAGAGCGAGGAGTGACGTCACATAACACAAGGAGCCACGTGAATGAAACCACGCAGAGGACACTCGGTGCTGGGGGGAAATGACGACACTTTGGTGTTGAGAATTCGGGGTTTTCTTGGGAGACGCGTGCACTCGGCTCTTGAAGGGGTCCAAACAAAGCTCCCCTCCTCTCCCCCTTGTGTCCACGCCGCTCTGCTATAACCTGTGGAATAAAGGCTGCTCAGTGGATTAAGTTCCCCACGTGTGCGCGCCTCCATTGATGCATGTTATTCGCTCCTACGTTTGGTGTTCGTATGAATCAATTAATCACTACGCTTATCAGGTGCGCAATGTTGCACCTATTCACTAGTTTTGTATTCAAGGTGACAATTACCTTCCAAATTATTTTCCAAAAGCGCCAGTTGCTCGTCTTTACGACTATACGAACGTATGTCCATTGAGCAGAAAGCGGAGCGCGAGTCTTGAAAAAGATGAGAGTAAGGTTGTTGGTGACGGGAATAAGAGCTGACAATGAAGAGCCTTGTAAATCCAGTCGGGGACGCTCACTATAAGAGGGGAATCGGTGGCATGGAGAGTGTGCGTGGGGTCGACTTGTGTGGATCTTTGTCGGATAAATTGACGGAGTTGCACATGGCCGTTGAGGATGGGGCATGAGGTGCATCTCCCTTCCTCAGGAGCTGGCCGGCAGTGGAGAATAAGGTCATGGGGTTGTTGATAGCGCGAGGTGACCGGTTACAGGAGGTAGATTTAGCCAATTTAACATAACTCTGATAGATATGAAGTTGGTCCTTATAATCATGTTAAATCTCTCACATTAACATAGCCACTTCCGTGCCCTCATCGAGGAGGCCGCTCTCCTATCTTACAGTTACATGCTAATGTCTCACGATAACATCACTAGCCCCGGCCACTTCATGACCCTTGGGCTACACCCATTTCAAACCTTTTAAAAGTCTGCCTCAGCAGCTGACCATGTTTTCCCACCTGATGACGGACGCTTGTGTTGCACCCGAAACCTCGTGATTTATTTTACACCTACGTGACTTTACCGAAAGAACCAAATAGTTTGGTCCTTATAGATTGGGTAGTGCACTTCACGGCTGGACTTCCTCCACTTGTGCTGTTAGCCTTCGGAGGTGGGATTTTTTGAATTCCCCACCTTAGTTCAGAGTCCCAAGGTGAGGGCCGTAAATCGGTGGCTGTGCGCGTTCTTGATGGAGGCACTCGGTCGAGCGTGTTGTGTCGAATTGTACAATTTGGCAGGCTCTTTGACGGGGAGGTCCAGCTCCTGAGCAAGGGGGAGAGCTGGACAAGACATTGTTGAACACGGCAGGGGGAGAATGAGACTTGAGATGACAGAATGAGTAACTGTGCTTTAGAGGAGGACCAGGGGGGGGCAGGGTAGAGCCAGAGATGTAAAAAAATGACGCAAACTATGGCACAATTTTCCAAATGAAATCATTACAACCACAAAAAAACCGTTGCTCTAAAATCGTACATTTATTGATACAAAAAGATATGTCGTTTAAAAGATTCGTGATTTGCAACTGCGCTTGTACACCAATCGGCATCACGACAAAAACTGTAAAACCCATCTCGTGGTCCCGCTGCAGAGCGCAGAGCGGCACATGGCGACGTCACCGACGCAAAACGTTCATAGCGCAACCCTTGCAAATTTCGTCATTTCCAGCTCCCACGCTGTTCCCACTGTACGGAAAAAAGAGCAGTGTGAAAGAAAAGCCGACTGACGGGCCCCCACACCAGGCCACAAAACCTTGCGTGGCAACAACGACACGGCCTTCACCATACCTGCCCAGACCCCCCCCCCGTAACGCCTTTTAACAGACAATTTGGGGCAAGTTCTGTGAGCGAGCACCTATGAAGGTCGGCATGGCACACGAGGGGGTTGCCAACACCATGCTCGGCCGCCTTTGCCTCGCCAGTGCTGATACTTACACACGGGACCAGGTATGCATTTAAGTCCGAGTCGAGCTCAGGGAGGCACAGCTCCGATTGATATATTTCACCCCACTGATATCGGTCTTGAGTGGGAATCCAACTCGGCTCAATGGGTTCACAATGCAGCGGGCTAATAACTACACTGCCGCTCCGCATTCAAGCCCAAACAAACAGACACCTTCAACAAGCAAATTGATAGAAAATTTTGAACATTTACAAGCATGCCATGAATAAAAAAACAGGTTTAGAATGAATTCAGTGTAAAACAATTTGTTTAATAATGCACTATTAACGAGATGGGTAGCTTTTGCGAGGGTTAGCGCACGAACACACGAGCATACAAATGCATGGACTCTCACGCCAGCGAACGCGGGACAACGCAAAACACGCAAATGAAATTACACTGCGCGTTCACACGTGAACGCACCCGAGAAAAACGTCGAACTCTCGATACTTTTCACCAAAAACCCGGACTAAAACGCACAATTAAAAACCAAAGTGAGACAATGTGCCGCCCGTTGGCAGAGCAGCAGTGGAACCTTTGTCACTAAGCGAACCGCCAATGATCCCGAAAGCATTGAGACTTTGTTCACCAATGCTACTCTTAGTCAGGATTGAGTGTTTTTTTTCAGTCCAAAGCAAGGCGAAAAATGCATTCTATTTTAGTAATCAAAATTAGTTTCTACAAGAGCCTGCTAACGTATGTCTCGTCAGGGAGATAGGCATACAAGGCATCTGTTTTAAAATGGAATTGTGGGTAGCTATCAATTTCTTGGGGTCTTTGCCACGAAATTGTCTTGCAGCAGATGTAAATTATGCAGCAGAAGGCTATGGCGATTGTTGGTGGCTACAGCATTAAACGGCCCACATTGTGCAAATTGGTTTGAACATGCCTACCATCATAACACCCACCATAATAGTGCACAGCACTTTTACAAAGACCCCCACATTATATATAAAAGCTCCATAAGATAATTTGGCACAACAGAGAAGCACATATTGGCCATCATAAAGGTGTCACCTGCATACCATTGTGAAATTTATGGCTGACATTTTTACGCTTGTTTACCCAGGAAAGCCACGAGTCTCAAGAAAAAAATTCAGACAGATCTTGCCTTATTTTCATGTCGGGTTGACACTTGATTCGCTGGCCATCGAACAAACATGATCACTGCATCACGCATTTTCAGATGTGCTTCTGCGGCCGTCTGAAACGCTCTTCCGTCCGATGTTAGGAAGCTAGTGGAGCTGTCGAACTTTTAAATCATCTCGATTGAAAACGAATTACTTTAGAATTCTTTTTTGCGTTAAATTCGTCTTCCCCACTCCTCCGATTAGCACGGTTTGCTACGTACGGTGCGGGCTAAGTGCAACGTACATAATCCAATTGTTTGTAATTTTTAGTAAATAAATTAATGCAACGCTATTAAGGGCCACTGTGCTAGAGTACTGGCCACGTATTTAAGACGCTTCATCTCGGGTCGAAGCAAGTGATTGCGCGGGCTTTTCCTATGCCATGCAGATTACATCTCACGTATCGTTTGTTTGTCCGCGTAGCATGTACTGTTCACGAAGCACTCGACTAACTGCATAATCAAATCCTGGCAGGGGGGTCAATGTAACCAATTATCCTGCGAGGGTCTATAAAAGGAGTACCACTTCCACGAGGAGAAACTGGTCACCACCCTCACGATGTCGAGTTTCCACCACCACTTGTTCCGGGTCACAGAGGGGGTCGTTATGAGCAGGGAGGAGACACCGGGGTCACGTTTGGCTTTACTGTTGCTCGTTTGGCTGTCGACCTGACTTGATGGGGCTTAATGGGTGACTGAACACCTTCACCTGTTGTACATTGACAGAACTGCTACTGTTGTGCACAATTGGTGATACTGGGAGCTGGCTCAGACAAGGCAATTCCCTTAAATGTCATAAAAAGTCCTCCTTACAAATACCCAGGCAAATCAAAAGCACGAGAAGCTTCACTGCGCTCCCAACTATGTTTCCCATTACACCCATCCATAATTACAGCACATATTTACTTTTAAACAAACACGATGAAAAGTTTTTTTTATATATATAAAAGTGTGTTTTTGTGTACCCATAGCAAGCTTTGCTGTGCACAAGGAAGGCCAAGCAACAGGTACCATGACATCTGCATTTGTGTGAAGCTGTGTGTGTGTGCACAGGCCTGGTATGTTTTGGTCGACTCAGCCTCAAATGAGTACCTGGTGCGGTGTGTAAACATCGCTACCTGGGCAGACAAAGGAGGTCGGGCGTGGTGCTGGCCACCCATCCCCATGCGTACCGTACAGGCATTCATTCAGGGCTGTTCGCAAACAGCACTCGCCCCAACGGTCTGTTAAGGGCTATATGGGAGGGGGGGGGATCTTTTGCCTTCGTACGTTTTTGGTGAGAGTATATCTACACACGGTTGTGTGTTGCAAAGGAGCAATTCCTCAGGACCTGGTGGCGGATACAATGGGGCATCATGGGTGCTCATAAGCATGCCACGTTGGGCGTGCGTCCCTGTGTATACCGACTTGGCGCGTACGACGCAGCACTAGGGTGCTGATGTGATCGTCAGTGTAGGCCGGGGGTAGAGAGGCTTTATACACGTAAACTCTCCCGGCTCAAGATGTTATTCTGAAAGACAACGAAGGAGCCATGGTTATACAAAATAAACCTCATTAAAGTCACACACGTTACATCAAATGTCAATTCCTAATAATTATGGCTGTGGTGCAAAAATGAGGTGGAGTGGCTGATAGCACACCCAGCCAGCAGCCTTTGCTAATCTTGCGCAGTTGACTTTAACCCTTAGAACCTTTGAAAGGCCCCAGTGCGATCCAGATACAGTGTGCCACATTCATACACACCTTTTAAAAATTACTGGCAGCTCACACGTAACGAAACGTTGGTTATAGCCAAGCATATAACTGACAAAATACAAAAACAACCATCGTAAGTGCATGCAAACTTCATACTCAAAGACATAAACACTTTGACACAGACACACAACAATATCACGAAGTCATCACCAAATCCCCATACGCACAAAACAAAACTTAAGACTCATATACACTTAACATAAATATGCAAACAAACAAAGGCACATGCAAACTCCCTGATCCAGCCATCCAAGTATACAAAAGTACTCACAGACCACTCGCAAAAATGTCATACTCGACGAAGCACACACACTCGCACGCCAGCATACTCGTGCCAGCATACGTACGCACACGTACGCACACGTGCACAAACGCTGACACGAACCAAGCGAAACAAACCCGCACACAAACTCACTGGAACCGAAGTCTCGCACACCAGACGCTCACCTTCTTGCGTTTGTTGTCGGAATCCTTGTCTCGGTTGATGTTCTTCCCGTAGGCAGCGCTCAGGCCACTGGCAGCATCATCGGAGCGGTAGCTGGGAGGGCCGGCTCCTCCCCCACTACTGCTGCCACCGCCGCCACCACCACCTCCACGCACGTCGGGCCCCGCCAGGTCCTCACGGCTCCGAGACCGCTTCTGTCGCCACACACAAACACACGCGCACACTCCAATATTCGCGCAAAGGCAAAGATCCCCATGTGGCAGGGCGAGTGCTGTTAACGAGCACCTATGAAGGCTGGCACGGCACACGAGGGGGTGGGTGGCCAACACGACGCCCGGGCATCTTTGTCTCCCCAGTGGTGATGTTTTACACACCACGCCAGGCACTCATTTGAGGCCCCATATAACCTCAACAGGCTGTTGGAGCAAGTTCTGTTAGCGAGCACCTAGGAAGGCCAGAACGGCGTACGAAGGGGTGGGTGGCCAGCACCACCCACGACCCCCTTTGTCTCCCCAGTGGTGATATTTACACATCGCACCAGGTACTAATTTAAGGCTGAGTCGACCTATGGGAGACCCAGGACCAGTTCATATAATCGCCACTAGTGTTGACCAGGAGTGGCCGGATTCAGTGCAGTGCGCAAACAGTTGTACTACCGCTCCCCACACACACACTCACCTATGCGCACACACCTATACAGAAACACTCATAAGCAGATAACTTACAAACAAGAGCAAACATTAACCATTACGTGCAAGTAGCTCCATGGAATTGCTGCCCAGCTAAGTACACTTTGCAGCTATATGGAGCGGTTAAAATAGCTGCAAACGAGAATCAGGTGTAATGGGTTTAATATAATCTAGGCTGACAGAGAGGCTTGAGAAGAGTTGATGTGGCCATCCCAAACAGCAGCAGTGAAACAAAGACAACTGTCGACCGGTTTCATCATTTCCCCCACTTTATGCGGTAAAAAGGGGCGAACAAAGTGAAACTCTACACAGTACACAAGCAATGTTGTCCCACATCTGACCGCATAGTCGCATGCGAATGAATGCAAACTGCATACAGCAAATTTTCGGATCGAAATACGTTAGCCGCACATAGGCGAAATCGCACGATCCGAACCCATACAGAGCGAGGGAAACCTGAAAAGCCATGAATGTTCACCGCTGCCTTGAAGCCTGTTGGGGATGGCCACATCTTCCAACCCACCTCGAGTTGCACTCTCCTGCCATTTGTGAGCAGCACACCTTTGTGCGCAGGTAAACACGGCCACACACTCACACCCGGCTTCTCACCTCTCCGAGGGCAGAGTTCAGGATGCGGTCGTCATAGCGACCCTCAGAAGGCACATCCGAGTACTTGGGGGGGGGCGGCATAACAGCCTCGCGCAATCCCCGCTCCTCGCGGAGGTCATCACCGCGGTAACCGTCGTCCCGCCGCTCATTGTTGTAGTTATTGGGACGCGGGTTGCTTCCGCGCGAGTTGTTCGAGCGGGGATAGGAGTCCCCTCGGGGGTCCCCACGGGGGAACGAGTCCCCACGGGGGTCTCCACGGGGGTCTCCACGGGGGTCCCCACGGGGGTCTCCACGGGGGTCCCCACGTGGGTACGAGTCTCCTCGGGGGTCCCTTCGGGGGTTTGGGTCTCCACGGGGTTCCCAGTCGGTGTTCCTCAAGTCGTCGCGGCTACGGCTCTTATGCTTGCCCTGGGGTGGGGTCAGGGATCACAGTCATCTGGACTGAAGCGGACAACCAGCCAGCACCTTCAACAGGGCTCTCTCTCTCTCACATGTCATGCTCTTTGTTTAATCATCGGATTCCTCCGGTCTAAATACAGATTCTAATTCCGATCTGAAATACTGTCCCTGTCTCTTGGTGTAATGATGATGATGATACTCATGTCCTGCATTTATCTAGGAAAAGCTCATCCAGTCCGAATATTATTTTGGCGTTTTGGTCCTGCATACGTAAAGTTAGTAAATGTACTATGTATGGAGTAGTTTGACATGTGGGAGGAACTCAAGGTGCCTGGAGAAAATCCGCACTTATGAGGAGAAATCCTCTTAAGTATAAATTAATTATGTATATCTAAATTTCAGAGGACAACCCAGTGGATTTCAGAATTTCACATTTCTCCATGATCCACCAACCCTGGCCTCCAAAGTGCTATATTACTCCTGTGTGCCACCATAATGAACTCTGATTTAACTCCGATGGTTGTAAAATGCAACAAATGTGTACATTATTTATCTATTCAACCCAATCACAATGTACATGTTTGTAAACATTTAAGAAAGACGAATAAAACAATATTCTAAAACAAAACCATCAACTCCTAGAGCGTGGGTGGTGGGCATCATCACTGGGGTGACGAACGTAGCGAGACGCGTGCATTTTTATCTACCGTGATTTTTGTGGCTTACCATGAAGACCTACGGAGGGTACGATCATGTTTATACACCAGTGTACATGTATGCGAGTGTGTGCGCGCACAGCTACGCTTGCGCAGCCTCACCTGATAGTAGTAGTAGTCATCCCGGCGCTCTGGAGAGTAATCGCGAGGCCTGTGGGATCGTGCATTCGTGTCAATGGATTCCCGTTCCTCCTTTGTCAACGCGGTTTAAAACTAAGAGCACTCGGTGTGGTTGGGGGTTTCAAAGGGTGAACGGGAGAAGTGCAACACAGGCAGAGAGGTTCTAGAAAACTCCACGGGTTTTTCTAAATAGCCACGATAGAGCACAGCTTCTCAAATCAGCGGGGCCTAATAAGCACATAGGATCGCAAAACGTAGGTTTTTGTGGCCAATACAATGATCCACGTTTGCTTTTGGGTTAGGCCACGTGGTAGGTAGTGAGTCTGAATTCTGAGCACAATACCCAATGAAGCGCAAAACAGTTTGAGCAAAACGTCGAGTGTTGAATTCAATCACGAAAGGTCTGAAGCCACCCGGTCAGAATTTGGTCAATACATTGGCACGTAATGAATATTTTTGGAAGCGTGACGATCTTGTCTGGTGGTAACAGGGTTTGGCGACAAGAATTTTGGCGTAAAATGTGACCTAAAACCAAAAACAAATATGGATCAAGAGCTACCCATGCTGACAATTGCAAGGACATGCACGTACTGGAGTAAAACTTTGGCGAGCCGGATTAATAGGGAGGCTGCCCTGGTCTGACTAGCTGAAGAGTCCAGCTATCTGCAAAACTTATGAAAATCAATGTAACAAGTCACAAAATACCAAGCAAATTCAAGCAAGTATTAAAACAGATACAATTAAAATATATTTTTAATTTAATTACTCTACCCTAAACGTTAAAATAAAATACATATGAAAAACAAACTATCGTTTTATATTAAGTATATTGTATATTGCGCTGTACGGAGTAGTTTTTGTGGACTCCCCATTGAGATAAGTCGATCACCCCGAGAAGTAAAAAAAAAAGCAAAGCAGTAAACACAAAAAAACGGAGGAAGAAAAGAGCAACAGAGACGAGGACAGAGGAATACAGCAAGAGCTACAAGAGAGAAAAACAGGGGAACTGAGAGCAAGAGACGGGGCTATGGTGTATGGAGCTACAGGACACGGATACACCTACTGGGCGTGTGCGTGCAAATCTCAAGGTGGCGAAAGATGTTTCACTTAATTATTTTATGACTCGGCTGCCACTTTATACGAACTCCAGCAAAGCAGCATTTTCTAGTATTAACACAAACAAGATCTCACCATGACAACTGCAACGATGCGCACGTACAGCTGTTTTATGCTCGCACTCACTCATAAGTGTGCTCAGACTCGCAAGCTTCAGTGCCCTCGCCCCCTCCCCACGTAGGTTCCCATTCACCTCCAAAAAGGACTCGGGTACTATCATCGACAAAGATCTCCCTCATAGCCCTTCACGACTGTTGGGACAAGTGCTATTAGCTCGCAGCACCTATGAAGGCCGGCACAATACACAAACGAGGGGGTTGATGGCCAGCACCAAAGACAAAGATCTCCCGTATAGCCTTAAAAGATTATTGGCGCAAGTGCTGTTAGCGAGCACCATTCGCACATTTGCTTGCATTGAAACACGCTACACATGGGCACAAACGTACAGACGAGGGCTATAATGACACCCGCACTCCCACATTCACACCTGACAGCTCGAGGGCGCGCACGCACACGGCGCTTAGCTCTCTCTCTCTCCAATGGTAGCCATAAGCACTCGCTCAATCACACGCACACACACTCACTCGCCTCACCTGTGACTTGGCCCTGCGAAGCCCACATCGTCGAGGTCGTCCACCGAGTGAGCTCGCCGGCGGGCCTCGCCATCGCCTTGCAACAAAAAAGCACAGTCATCCACCGCAGCTGCCATGCACGCACCTCGCCACAACGACCACAACCTCCACCATTGCCACATCAGCAATGGCACTAGAGCTGGGACGACAAGTCCATTAAGTTCATTAATCCCGTTACAAATGATGACTTTTTGCTGTGGTTGATTACTCGAGCCCATCTTTACTGTTATAATAAAGTATCACTTACGCTACTCTGTTCACAAGCGATTTTATTAGGAGGGATTAAATATTATTGTTTGGCCACACATTCTGCCAAGTGTCATCTTTGCACCAGTCATATTTCTTCCAACATTAAACGTGTCACCACTACACCAATAGCACATTATTGAAATCGCTATTGTTACATCAATACAATCTTAAAAGTCTTTCGTTTTTGCAAAGAATGACAGTGAGTGATCAGATCAGGGCCTGGGAGGCATGGCAAAGGTTTGGCCCCAGCATAAGCAAAAGATATTGACTTATCAGTGCAGACAGCAAGTAACTTAATCCGTTTAAAATACTCGCGAAACGCCACACTGTCATGTCATCGTCTCCAAGACTCGACGTGGCATCGATATTGTGTCTCGCTGCATTCGTGTCCCGTTGTTGTGTTGTGTGTCATGTGCGTACGGGGGCCGGGGCCGCCGCGGTGCGACGAAGGGGCAGACGAATCGATGTCGCGCACGGGGGACAGGGCTCGCTCCCTCGCCCGCCGCAGCGCCTCCCGCAGGTCGCCGCGATCGTCGTCGTGCAGCGACGACAGCTCCGTCATCCCAGCCACTGTCGCAGCAGCGTCAGCAGCAGCAGCAGCACAAGTTAATAACGCTTCAAGCACAACACCCATTATGCCGGATTAAAGCAAGACAAAATTACAAACTTTACACAACCCTGCTGATCTCATCAAAGAACAGAAACCACCAGGCGAACTCCGGTCATCCTCGCAGCGGCTTTTGGCTAGCCATCGAACAAAGGCGGTCACTGCATTGTGCTCTTTCGGATGCACTTCTGCGGTCGTCTGAAATGCTCTTCCTTCCGATATTAGGAAGCCACTGGAGCTATGCACTTTTAAATCTAGATTGAAAACTAATTTCTTGAGAACTGATTTTTATGTTTAGTTTGCTGTCCTTCACCCGCACCTCTTGACTAGCAGTTGGCTACATACGGTGCGAAAAATGTTAAACATACATGCAACACCAATCATGGCTCAAAAGTCAATTTACGGTAAATACAATTTATTATTTAAGTCAATCATGTCACCGTTGCTTTTGCTACGATTTACATTTGCTTCATTGGTTTAGTTTATTTTTACTTGTTTTGCTTTTGTCATTTTGGTAAGCCAGGTCACTCTTCCAAATGAGACTATTCTGGTATTTTGAGTTCCCATATAGGAACTCAATCTTGACTTAACAAAATGAGGGAATTTGGTGCTCCAAAACAGCACGTCACAACACTACACACACCGCAACAAACGAATAACAAATCTACAATGCTACAATCAATAACATAATATAAAACACTCCGTGCTATGTGTTATCTTACAACACAATAACAAAAGACATGTTACAACACTTGACAGCATGACACGTTACGTAACACGCTTGCGAGCTGACATGACTACACAACAGGAAACAATATAACTACACGATAAAACATATTATACAACACATTGGTATAACACAGCACAGCACAACAAGATGCAACCAATGTTATACCTACATATTGCCATGTTGTAGGATGTGATACAGCATGGCCTTTGGTGTCAGTTTAAAACATGCTTGAACAGAAACATCACCCATTATAATTTGACAAACGCAACACTGAGAAACAGGTTTCAACAAGATGCATTTTGGCAGGCCACGATGATGTCACTCACAATCAAAAATATGTTAAAACACGTTATACCACTTTACAAAACACACCACCACGCTTCACACCACACAAACAGCACAAAGACACCAATGACAAACATCCCCTCTCTTTCCCCAATAGCCTTACAGACGACAAACTATTGGGGAAAGCGTGTCAAGTAAAGTGTATCTGTTTAACTAAAAATACCAGGAGAGAGTCTCATTTGCAATGGTGACCCGGGTCACCAAAATGACAAGAAGCAAAACTAATGAACTAAAGTACAGCAATGAAGCTGAGACATCAGAGCGATAACTGTGTCACAACGGAAATGGACAATATCGCAACAAACATAAATCAAGGTAAAATTATACATTCCCCAAAATGTATGTCGGATCGGGAAAGATTATGTTTAGTCTGCCTTGTTTACATTTGAGCTATTTGTTGTTTACACTTGTGCATCACTGCCAACGCCGCATCACCAAATAATTTGTTTAAGAGTACATCGCAGTGCACCCATGGGGGTGGAAATGACTAACGATGGGGTGGTGTGTCCAGCTCTATGCCCGGCTAATATACCATAAAGACAAAGGTGCCCCGTATAGCCTTAACAGACTGTTGGAGCAAGTTCTCTTAGCGAGCAACTAGCAAGGCCAGAACGGCTTACGAAGGGGGTGGGTGGCCAGCACCACCCACGGCCCCCTTTGTCTACCCATCGCACCAGGTACTAATTTAAGGCCGAGTCGATGTAGGGGAGGCTCAGGACCAGTTCAGATAATCGTCCCTGGTGTTGACCGTGAGCGGGAATCGAACTCGGATCGCGGGGTTCGTAGCCAAGCGCCACCGCTCTCCATATACCACACGTCACCACACACAGGCACAGCACCCCCACCCAGACAGTGCATCATCGTACTTGTCTCAAGGGGGTCGTGGTGGCTGGGATTGAAGGCCTGGAGTTCTGTCTCCACACGGTAGAGGGCGTGTCCATTACCGGACGGCTCGGCCTGTATCCGATAAGCAGCCCGGCCTGAAAGCAGCACACCACACAAGTAACGTCGGTCATGCATATGCCCTGCTCTGTATGTGTCTCGTGTCTGTGATGCATCGGACTGCCAGCTCGTCTCTGTGAGGTGAACACAGAGGCAGAGTGATTAAGCTCTCTTGTTGGTACACAGCCCTTCTACAGCCAAGAACTTCTCAGCTCCTTCCCATGGTACTGACAACAACTAGACACTCAAGAAACTAGGCTAAACCTGCAAAGGCTTTTAGGAGAGGGAACTCACACAGCCGCGTGGGTGCATGAAAAATATTTTTTTTCCTGTTTTTAACCATTCACATTGCATTTATTAGACAGGACATGCAGACATTTTCCAATGGCAATGCTTGTAAAAATCAGTGTATACCGCACGTTAGGCAGTGGCCTCTGGAAGATGACATCATAGAACGACTTCCGAAGTCGCTTAAGTTGTCTTTTATCTATACTAGGTGGTGTATATTCTCACATGTCCTGCTAAAGGTGTGCACTGCACAAGAATCAAACCTTTTTTTTTTAGTCATCGTGGATGGAATAAGCAGAACAAGTGAAAACCGGACGTAAAAATTACGAGCAGGTAGCACGCAATCCCACGGACGGCTGTACCCCGCCAGTGTCTCACCTTTCCGTCCCTCTACCTCATCCTCTAGTGAAAACATTAAGTAGATACAATTAAAAAACTATAAAATGTATTGTAAAGAGTTAAAACTCCTCCGGATGTTGAGTCAATAAACCGAATGTAAAATACTTGCACAGTAATCCTTCATTGGAATTTACCATCCCGCTATTTTCTTGATACTGTCATCTTCTAAAAGTTTATATCTCATGCATCTGGGACGTCCCTGCACTCACGGTGACTGTTAATTCCTTTTCCATTAGACACATTTAGTTTGTCGTCTTGCTCTTCCAGAAGCCGTGCAATTGTATTTTTTGTTCATTTTATTTTGTCATGCGTGTTGACAAACTGGTATTTTTCTCAGAACCTGCAGGTCACGAACTATGAATCAACATCAAAACTTAATCTCTCACCTGCCCTTCATACCCATAAGAGGAGGTGTGCCATTGTTGTTGTTAGTCACTGGTGATGAGGCTGAGATGGTTCAACTTGCTACACTGAAGAACCAAATTTTAACAATGGGTGGTTGCCCAGCTTTGGACCCTGGACCGTGAGTAGGGTCCGGCTCGGCGATCCCCCACCGCATCTTGCCACTTTTGTATCGTGCTATGTCATAGCAGCCTTCTCACCCTCTACATTCGCAATATTTGCGGTCCGTTTCTCGTTCTCCTTGTGCTCAATCCACGCTTTCACTCTTTTTCTCTTCTTGCCCCCCCCCCTTCACTGGAACAAACGTCACCCTCCACATTAAACAGTCACCTTCGCTCACTTGTTTCCGCTCCTCATTCAAAACTAATTGTTCCCTAGCTCACCCCACGACCTCCCTTTAATCGCGCCCTTATAACCACCACTGTTTGTCATCCCTCTTCATTTTCTGATTACATGGCTATCACTCATTCTACATTAATTCAATCCATTCATCATCATTTACTGCCATAAATTTCGCTTTCGCCGAATTCACGCATCACAGATTCGCACCCCATTGCTTCCTCTCATCTAATTTCATTCATCTCATCTCCATCATTACATTCGTACGTTGTACCTTACTTAATTCTCTGTAAATCGCCTTTGTTAAGGCGCTTTGTTAAGGCGCTTTGTTAAGGCGCTGTATAAATTACGTTAAGATGAGATCCAACCCCAGTAGGAGAGTCCCCCCGAGCGACCGTGCCCAACTTAATAGGATCGCAATTGACGGTGACTGTCGTTTCTCACCAGAGGAGGAGTTCAAATCGACCTGCTCACGGTGAAGCAGCGGCGCGTTGGAAGAATGACCCACTGTACACGCACACACAACACGTGCAACAGAACACACGGCGCGTTGGAAGAATGACCCACTGTACACGCACACACAACACGTGCAACAGAACACACGGCGCGTTGGAAGAATGACCCACTGTACACGCACACACAACACGTGCAACAGAACACACGGCGCGTTGGAAGAATGACCCACTGTACACGCACACACAACACGTGCAACAGAACACATGAGGAGCAAACGGTGGCACGGTGAATTTCAGCAGGATTGGCGAATTCATTTATTAGTTTCGCATCCATCATACCCACTCAGATCAATGACAACCATTTTGTGGGGGCTACAGGCCCACGCACAGTCAGTGATGGTGCTTAAATCATCAGCTGTGCATGCCTCCTCTAACAAACAACACAGGAGTTGATGAGCGAGGCATTGTCTGCTCCTGGCTGCAGATGCAGTTCGTGTTCTGGGGCCTAGTTGATATAGCCCCACTTCCTGAGATTGAATCTACAGCAGCCGAAAATATGAGTGTCAGTGTGGTGCATGTATGGTGCATGTTGAAGCAATGACCAGTAGTGCAGTGCATGGCATTGTTGGTATGGTATTTGGGGCATTATAACATTCATGCAGTAAAGCTTACGTGACACATGCCTGCAATAAGTGGCTTCGGATGCAAAGTTAGTGGACTACGCATATCTGTGAAATTCCCAAGCCTAGTGGATGTGTGGTGATGCAGTGCAGCATGGTGGTGGTGTAGACAGGTGTGGTGGTGCAGTGAGTGGTGGCGCGATGCGTGGCGATGCATACCTGAGCTGGCGTTGTCGTGGTAGTCTTGGTGGATGGGGTAACCCCGTGGGGCAGGCGAGTGCCCACGCGCGTACCGCGTGGAAAAGCGGGAGAAGACACTCGGAGCTCGAGTTGAACCGGCATACGAGCCCGTGGCCGCCTTGCCAGCTTCATACACTACCCCACACAATAACGAACACACACAGCAATACACTCACACCACCGACTAAACGTCGCCATCCACCACTGCATGCCATGTTACACAATTATTTTGGTGGCGGCCTGGCCACACATGACAGCTAATCGAAGTGATTTATGTTTGAGAATTTATCGTTCGGAAAATAATGTAAACGTTTGTTTCTTAATGTGGATGGAAAAACAGGAGGACCTGGAGAAAAATCCATGCGAGCACAGGGAGAGTATTGAACCCATGACCTCCTGCATACCAGGCGAGGGAGAAATTATCTCACCACCACAGCGCCCCTGGAGGGTGTGTCGTGTGTGCTGCACGTCTCGTATGCCGTGTGTGTGCGGTGCATGCGCGCATCACGACACGTGTTTCTGCATCTCCTCACATGCGCGGGGGCAGCAGCAGCGCTCGGGGCAGCACACACACGACAAGTAGCAGCAGCAGGTGTGAGGGCAGCACTGGCACCAGCAGACGCCGATAAGAATGAGCAGCAGCACTCCACCCATCACGATGAGCACCACGAACAGCCAGTCTGTGAACACAAACGCAGATTTGCACAAACACAGACCTTATATACCACACATTGCCTATTATTTGTCTGCAGACATCAAAGCATCTGGTATGGGTATTGAGTGGTTGAAGGGACCAACACATCCATCCTCTTGCAAGATACTGTGCAGGAAACAAGATAATCTATCCCACTGAAAAACAGGGGGACAGTTTGAGGACTTGTATTAATTTCCAATTCAATTTATTTACAACTTTATAATAACCTTTTGAGAGGTGAGATGAAATGGCAACACATCATCCAAACCACAACTTCCAACAAAATGTCCTTCTCATAAGGTTTAGAGCTGCAGCGGTGTGGCTTTTTAGACAAATATTAATTGCGTATATTGTGCTTTTGACCATCCCACAGTCGTCTCTGAGACACTATGCGACTCAGGAACATCCCAGGAAATTATAAAAGGGAAGATGTATAATAATGGTTTTCTTGTTCTCATGAAGTGCAACGCAAGTCAAAAATAATAATTTACAGTAGAACCTCGGAGATCGAACGCACCAGAACTCGAACAAATCGGTGTTCGAATGATATTTCCAAACATTTTTTGCCCCGGAAACCGAACGAAATTCGGAGGTCGAACGGCAATCACGACTTGAAAGAACCTGTACGGCTGAGACGCGTATGGCCAGCAGCGTGCATGACGCTTGCCCAGACAAAGGGGACTCCCCTTCCAAACAATAACACCACCACCTCACCCTCCTCACCACCTTACACTCAAGCCATCAACTCTCCTTACTACAGGTAAAGTGAAGTTCAATGTTCATTTATTTCATTTATTCCATATATTTATTCATTTATTTATTGAGTTTATTGGGTTTTTTTGTATGATTTTATGCATGTAATTACTGTAAACTTCGTGTAAAAATGGTTTATAACGAGATATTTCTTGTGTCTGGAACCAATTAATGTAATTTACATTCATTCTTATGGGGGAAATTAATTTGGTGTTCGAATGGCCTTCTGGAACGAATTAAGTTCGATCTCCGGGGTACCACTGTATTTGGAAGGCGCCTTCTCACACACACGACACATACTTCCTCACTGTTTCACACGCAATGTTTCTCAATCACCCTTACAAACACTAAAATAATCTCTTTCCCAGATACCTGAGAGGCCGGGCAAGTCAAACCCAGGCAGGAGTTCTGTCCTGTTTGAGGTTCTGCCTAAAAGACACGGAGACAGGGAGAGTGCGCTAGGTAGGGACGAGGACGACCCCGCGCCCACCCATATCCTCAGCACTGGAAATAGGTGGCCAAACCCACACTCCCAAACTCAAACCGACAGTACACTTAAATATTAGCCCTCAGGCGCATACCCACTCTCAAACCCACGACACACTTAAAATATCCACACTTCCCAAACCACACCTGTGAAAACATAGCACAATCAAAAATCACTCATCCCAAAATCACACTTTCCCACAAACCAACAGAACACTGGATTCTCAACATCCCAAAAACTACTCCCAATCGTCAACGCATAGCGCTCAATGAAGTAGAAACATTTTTGCATACAAGAAGATTATTTAATGCTTTCGGACATATGTTTATCCTCGGCAGTACTTATTTCATTAATGTGCAACGCACCACACAAGACACGCAAAAGCCTGTACACCCGTAAGCTGTGGTGGGACAGCAAGGCTTGCATAGCAGTGTGACCAGAAAGGACACGAATCAGCCAGCAGGGCTGGGATGCCAAGGTGGGTTAATTCAGCGCTGGTTTTTCGCCTCCAAATTTTTTTAGGCAATCCTATGATCGACGTGGCCAGCTTTTTACAGGGGAAGTTCATAAAAGCACAAGGATTTTTAATAAAGTTTGATCTTTACGAGTGTTATGGTTCCCCACCCCAATACAGACAGGCAGAGAAGTGGGATGCACAAAGATAATGCTTTAACAATTTCAAACCACAACACCACCACCCACAGCACTCAAATGTCCAAATTCCCAAAACTGTAAACCTCTCAAATTCACAGCACACTCCCAAATCTACCACAGCTTTCCTCAAAAACACACAAACTCCCAAAATCATACACCTACTACCGACCCTCAAACACAAATCATCCCCCACGCTCACAAACACACACTCTACACCAGAGGTCGGCAACCTATGGCTCGCAAGTCAGATGTGGCTCTTTTGATGACTGCATCTGGCTCGCAAATAAATCTTAGCTGACATTTCTTTAGTTGTATTCAGTGTTAAAAAATATTATATGGCTCTCACGGAAATGTATGTTAAAATGTGGCTTTCATGGCTCTCTCAGCCAAAAAGGTTCCCGACCCCTGCTCTACACCATCGAAAACTCACATCTACACAAAACATTACATTCCTAAACACACACTTAAAAAAACGCACACAAAACTACCAAACAATAGTCCAAAACCTGTCCAGGCTCCTATAACCCCACACCCAAACTCCAAACAACTCAAACCCATATCGCCATCCACAATTCCAAAGCTATACCCATTGCCAAATCCACACCACATGCTCACTTGGACTAACATTAACCTCATCCATCTTACTGGCACCTCAAGATCACTGTTTAACGACAAGCCATCACAAATTAATAAGCATATCCGAGTCTGAACACTGCAGGGCCAACAAACCAAAACTCAAACGAGGAAAAAAAGACACCTTTTGTAAAAATTCCATGTTCCTAACCAATCATCATGATCCCTTGTATAAAGGTGTCAGTTTTTGTGCCAGATAAAAGGATAAAAACCTATTACTATATCTTGTTACTGGCAAAGGAGGTCTCATAATGTAAGTGCTGACCCCGAGCTCTCAATACTCTGATGGTGCGCTGTTTTTGAGTTGTATGCCTTTTGGCGTCTTCTGGTCCAACACCAGTGGAGACTGGGCTCTAAGAAAAGCCGTCTTGGGTGTGAACCAATCAAATTCAAGGACAGTGCATATTATCAGAGTTGTCTTTTTTGTTTGCATTTTGACCACTTGTGTTGTGGTTATTGCAAACATGATGCCTTGTATAAAGGTGTCAGTTTTTGTGCCAGATAAAAGGGTAAAAACCTATTACTAAATCATCTTATTGTACCCCAAGTATATACACACCCTAAGCCTTCCACAATCAAACCCATATTTCTCAAATAAAATCACTCTTGAACATGAACATATTCCCATTCTACTTCTCAATGTACGTAAACACTCAAATCGCATGTCTTACCAAAGCCAACACACTATCCAGAAAACTAACATATCCAATGTATTCTTGACATTGTAAATAATTGCTTAAATTCCATAACAAAGTTAACTTTCCAAAACCACATCAACATTTGAAGTTATGACACCAATTCAGTGCTAAGTCTACATTTATAAATCATCCCTCCGATTAGCATGATTGGCTCTGTATGGTGCAAAAGAAGTTCAACAAGCATACATAAATGTCAACATTTCCACTGTACCTCGACATTTAACTTATGCTGGTAACAAATGTATGCATCCCTTCCCCAACCATGCCAACATTTCAAGCTCATGCAATACAACGGTTGTTTCTATTTTGTGCCAACATTCCCATGGTCAGCTGATGCTGCCAGTGGCATGTAAGCTGGCAATCAGCATCCTTGCCACCGATCCAGTTCATACTGTGAACCATTAATTTCCTAGTGCCAACCAATAATGTATCTGGGGCTTTATTATTATCTGACAGATAGCTGGAAAGAGGATTGTAAAGGGGGCGTTGAAGACCCAGGGCTGCCAATACAATCCTAAAATCGCGGTGGATTTCTACATTCATATGGTGGGGGTGGGTGTCTAAAGCAGGGGTGGGGAACATCCGGCCCGCGGGCCGTATAAGGCCCGCGAAATCATTTAGTCTAGCCCTGCCAAGGGAACCGAAGGGCGGGACTCAAAATTCAATAAATCTAGAAGCAAACCTGGAAAAGCAGTTGCGGTGTTCAACATCATCAATACCAGCTAACATCACGCGCCTCACCAAAGAGAAGCAGTTCCAGCCATCACATTAGGGGTGAGTTAATTTAATGTTTGACCAAATATAACAGGCTAATTTTTAACTTGATAATTTTGTATGGCCCACGAATGATGTTATAAATATCCAAATGGCCCTTGGCAGAAAAAAGGTTCCCCGCCCCTGGTCTAAAGGATGACCACTGTTGACTCTCCCAAAACGTGGCACGGATTTTAAACTATGTTCATCATAGTGCAGGCACTTTCCAAACACTAAAATAAGCTACGCATGAAACTAAGTGTATATAGCTAAGCAAATACATGTGGGGGCCAGCCTACCAGGGCCCAGCAGGGGCCTCACAAGACACTCTGTCACCTGGTCCCAACCACTACAGGGAACAATGGGACATTGGGACCGTATGAATACTAGTCAGGTCATCAGGACTACCAATGCGACCACTGGGACCACCAGCGGATCCACTGTGGCCGCCAATCAGACCACTGGAAGATGATTGGATACTCGCTCACTCTTATGTATACACACCACGGATACTCACTTTTAACATGAAAATCACAGACGCGTTGATATTCCTGCAGCAATCGTGCAGAGTGGAATAGTAAAAATCCAACACGATTCCTGCAGGAAGTGCCCAGATCTTCTTGCATTGGTGCAAATGTTTGCATGACCACATACATTGTACATGTGTGTACATATATCCATGAAAGAGAGCTGGAGCATGCACATCTATATGTACACACGATTGTGAGCACGTGTGTATCATTTAGTGTACCATACGTGGGTTGATTAGTACGTGTGTGTGTGTGAACATGCGTACTCAGCACGAGGAGTTCTCCATATGCTTCGTTGTTTCCTGATAGATCAGCAGTAGAAATGACCTGTAGGACACAAAGGCAGAAATACAACAATATTAAACTATGATAACAATACCACCCTGTATGTGTGTTGAATTTATTCCGCACGTTATGCAGTTAACCATGCTAACCGGAAGTGCGTATGTATCACTACAGTCGGAGTCTACTTATTTGCGATGAAGTGATGAAGTACAGATAGTCCCCGAGTTACGATGGTCCGACTTACGATATTTCGATCTTATGATGGCGATAACTATACGACAAAATTGTTAAATATTTTAAATTTTGCGCGCCACGCAAATGCAGCAGCGTACGAGGTACGATACTGTACGTTGTTCTTTTTTATAGCAGATGGGATTGTTTCCTGAAAAAAAACGTTCTATTAAATTGCAGTTCATATAGGTAGGCTAAGAATTTACCTTGTTTTTTTACTTTACATTTTACTATGCAATACAGTATTGTAATTAATAAATACATACAGTATATCGTTTATACAGTACGGTACTGTAAATTGCTCTGTTCTGCTAAATTATCACCATTCTTTAAGACTCCTGGGTAGGCTAGGCCATCTTCGATTTACGATATTTTTGACTTACGATGGGGTCGTCGTAACGCATCTCCATCGTAAGTAGAGGACTACCTGTAAATGTTAATCTGATGCAATGAGGTATATATTAAACTGATGTTTATATGATATGAGATTAGGTTTTTCCCCTTTTATCTGGCAACAAAACAGGTGTTAAGTTGTTAAAACACCAAACTGAAACCTTTTACAAGGAATCATGTCTGCATTAACCAAAATACTTGTGGTCAAAACGCAAACAAAAAACACTGATAATATTATGCATTGTCGTTGATACTGATTGGTCCACACCAGAGACCGCTTTCTTTTGAGCCTCGTCTCAAACGGTGTTAGACCACCACAAATATTGTGGTTAATGCAGACATGATTCCTTGTAAAAGGTTTCAGTTTGGTGTTTTAACAACTTAACACTTGTTTTGTTGCCAGATAAAAGGCGAAAAACCTATTCTCATATTTTGGTACTGGCAAAGGAGGTCCCATGATGTTTATCTGATATTTTGTATGGTGGGAAAAAGGCATTAATAAATTATATTTAAAACCCGTTGCAGGACAATACCATACTTGCCAATGAGCCAATTTTCATGGCGCTAATGGTTTGATTCCTTTAGCTGCTAAGTGACTACCTTCCTTGCAAAAGCAATTAATCTCAGCGGATTCTCAGCTGATAAACGAAAGCACACTGAATGCACTGTACTATTGACCTGGCAGTAGTAGACGCCACTGTCTCCCCACTGGGTCATTTGGATCTCCAGCTCCGCCTCTGAAATAAGTACACACACACAGAAACAAAGCACACGTACATAATCGTACGCAACACACTAAGCAGAGACGGCAGACAAAACGATAACTATAACCACACACGATCAAGACGTACAATGGCGAGCATAAATACTGTAATTTATCTACACACAAACACATTACATACAGGTGACCATGACCGAGTCAATTCCAATTATCTTCCAGAAGGGCGATACAAAGCTTGAATGTATAGTCAACATTTATAACAAACAAAAAAAATCTCTTAATTTAAACTACAACCAGAAGTTTGAAGTGTTTCACTTGACAGGACAAGATGAGCTTACATTTTTTATTTCTTTAAGTGTTGTGTCATGCAGTGTCACCATTTCATGTGCACCGCTGCCAATTAAGTGATTGTGTGATATAAATAATTGTTTTCCCTTGTTTACTTGAGGAAACATGCTCCGCTGTTCCACTGTTATCCCCTCCTGTAGAAGTGTCCTGAGATGCTCCTGCATTAAATATGTTCATACATTGCAATTATTGTTGTTCCCTTGTGTTCCAGTCTACCTCAATATCTTTCGTTACACCCATGACCTCATGCTTCCCTCATGCATTCCCCTGCTCCCCCCATGTCCACGTACGGTTGATGATGGTGATGCGTCGCGCCTGGTAGTCATTTCCGAGAGTCACCGTGTTGCCACGCTTTGTGGCCACGGTGCGAATGACGCGCTGGGAGTCCGGGCAGTCCGTGTACGGGTTAAAGTTAGGGTTTGCCTGCTGCACCTGCACTCGGATACAAGAGACCACGATTCCCCGCAAAATCAGACAGACTCTCGGGGGAAGTGCTTCCAGAGTGCCTATTAAGTCCGGAAGAGCACAAAAAGGGGTGGTGGAACACGCACCGCGCCAAGCCACTTTCGTCTCCCCAGTATTGATATTTGCACATTGCGCCAGGTACTGAATTAAGTCAACCTGGAGGAAGCCAAGGACAGGATCATTTAACCCTTGCCAATGATACTGTGCATCCTGGGCATGAAACGAACACAGGTAGCGGTGTTCACACCAGTGGGTCTGAAATTGGCTGCCCACACGTCGCATGGGTTGAACACCACTGCCATGGATAATGCCCCCACTGCTGGTAAGTTGTTATTTTATTATACATAGATATGGTGTGCTGGTATTAAGAGAATTAGATTGTATCAACTGTTTATGTTAAAGCCACTATTTGTTATGCACCCTCTGTTTTTTGTTTTCAAAGCCTACCTAAGCCTGAGTAGTCTGCAGAGCTTAGCTTAGATCTACTGTCTGCTTTCGATAACATTTTTGGCTAATACTCCAGAGGTAGATAGGGGGAACGGCTCTTGATCCTATCTTGGCCGAGACAAATGTTACAGTTCTTCCGACTCCTGACCACTGTGGCACGCACGTGGGCCCTGTGCCATGTCAGGTTCAGTTGCATGGAGTGGATCCGTGTGTCCCCACAAATCATGAGCTAAGAGGCTTTATAGGCTCAGCCCCTCCCGTTCCATCCCTCCCCACCCCTTCTCTACACTGAATGGCCAGAGAAAGAAAATGTAAAAAAAATCTTTCAACATTTAATATGGGTTCGGGTTAGGTTGTTTGCATAGAAAATCAATTTACACTACGCTTTCTTTTCTTCCAGTGATTTTTGTTCAACACAACCCTGGAGATGAACTGAGGCCACTGGACACGCATCCCATTTCCATGTTCATGCCGCGTCCAGAAACAAGAGACCGTATTATGCTGTTGTGTAATCTTACGACATCCTCACATGAAGGTAAAATCATGCGGCTTAAGATGAAAAGTGAACTCCCAGGCTACTTCCCCAAACAGCCTACAAAAGGCACTGGGTCAACGAAGCAGGGCTAAGTTGGGAATGTGGATTGAACTGTCTCGTTCAGTTCGTGAGCTAATCCAACACGCTTTGTAAGTGGTCGTGAACACAAGGCATAGGTGTTTAATCGAACAAAGGCAGTGGTGTCCCCATTCTCACACAAACATTGGCCAACCACTCATCTCTTTAGACAATGGTGGAAATTCGAGATTGTCATGATTGGAACTAGTCTAACCATGCCAACTATCACAGAACCCTCAAATAAAAGGGCTCATCTTATGGATCTTAGGGGAAAATACATTTCATAAATTCCATCCGGGATATAAACACAAGACTTGTCTTATATCAAGTTGGTGACAAATGCTAATCGTAAGTGATTACAATGTAGCAAAATATGAAAGAAAGTTAATAAAACGTTCAAATAGATAAGTTCAGAACTTTGTGGGCCTCAATTTACTCGGCATGTACTGAGGTGGGTTTAATGCGCAAGCTTGCCTGGTTGTTAATGCTGACGCTGCCACTGGAAGGGTTGAGGGAATCGGAGACGCGGTCCCGGCAGTAGGATTTGTACTTCCACATGATGATGGGCTCCTCGTTGGGCACAGACGTCGTGTATTCGCAGCGCAGAGTCACGTACTGAAACAGCATGGCCACGTTCCATGGATTCTTCACCCTCACTTGCATGCCTCCTACGCTTGCTGCAAGTGCCAACACAACACAGCGTGAGACTATGTGACATCACAACATGGCGTGAGATTACACAACATAACATGGCGTGAGATTACACAGCATCACAACACAACACGATGTCCATGGCTTCATTACACAGCACTGCACGGCATCACAACGTTGTGTGGCCCACGCTGAAAGTGAAGACGTGGAGTTTTTTTTACTGCAATAAAGAACTCTCTTTATATTGCACATTCTTTATTAAACCAAGTGAAATCCAACGGCGCATATCATCTTTGAGATAGAGGAGAGTTTGGGTGTCAATAGCAAAGATTCATCCATAACATAACGTTCCTGCAACTTGTGTGGGGAGGCTTTCAAACTCGAGACATAAGGTCCTCCCCCCCGCCCCTCCACGTGCGCTTTCCTTTACAAGGCAATAAAACACGCACCGTGGAAACCACCGGGTGGTGATCGTCGGAAAATGACGGCATCAGTACGCTGAGCACGATGTAAAATCTTGTCAAAATTAGGCAAAAACCACCCCACGTTACTACCAAGGATGACACACATTCTTCGTTAAATATAGATGGGGCACCGTCTACGCGTATGACTAACGCTCGTGACTAAGGCTATGCAATGTTGTGATGGCGGTCATGGAAATGGACAATTTTGGGGTGGCTTTTTTAAAACGTATCACTGTAGAGATGAAGCGTTTCTTGCGGTTGTAATGTTGGGAGAGAAAAAAAACTACTATCGGAGACAGGTCGACACAGAAATATACATAAGAGACTCATATTCTTGGTTCTTTCGGTAAAGTCACGTTGAAGGGAAACAATAAAATATATTTTATTATGTTATTGTTTCCCTTCAACGTGACTTTACCCAAAGAACCACGAATATGAATCACTGCAGTCACGAAAGCTTTAAATCAAAATACACAAGAGACGTTAAGATAAACAACACCGACAGGCACTCATATACCGATTAATAAATGTGGAGATGGACATACACACGGAGATATAGAATGACACAAAGCGCTGCGACATTTATTTATTTTAAATGCCAAGGTGAGATGGGAGCAAATATTTTTTTCTCGCATCCTAGGCTGTGGATGTCACTAAATCGTAGGCTGACTGATGACTCGTCTTTTTAAAATATTTGTTTTTACTATTAGTAACGAACCATTACATCGGTAGGTGAAAAACGGGGGCTTCCGGTGAGGATGCCCCCCGGTAGACTCCCCCTGATACTCTACCAGGCAGCACGTCCCACTGGGCGAAGAACCCGGGACCGGCCCAGGTCACATTGGCGGGACGATGTCGCTCGGCTGGCCTAGGAACGCCTGGAAATACCCCCAGGAAGAGCTAGAGTCTGTGTATAGCAGTGCATAGTGCTAGAGTCCGTCGCCAGGGAAAGGAAGGTCTGGACCGCCACTACTCAACATGCTGCCCGCCGCGACACTCATCAGGACAAAGCGAACTGAGAGACGAACAAGCAGGCGGTTGCAATTTGAATGCGCCCTGTCTTCTAATTGGGACATCTATACACAATGGAGCCCCACATCACCGTATACAGGGCCCGATTCTAATTTTGAACGAATGTTAACTTTCGCCCAGATTTTTATTCTCGTAAATAATCGGTTTGACTGCGGTGCGCCGATCTCGCGGCAGAGTGAATAGCAAAGTGCGACATCTACCGTGGGCACTAGTTGAGATTTTCCCATCGATTTTTTTGTCTAACGACACGAGGCCCCCAGAATAGTTATTTACAGTTCCACATGTTTCATTTTAAATCTACTGTCACTCCATTACAATAGTGACAATCAGAGAGGCGATGCGTTTAGGCCATTTCATCACAAATCTGTCCCAAATTATCTAAAAAACCCAACACGGTCCTCATCCTTGGCGAGTGATGGAAATTGGACATTACCATTGTTGCCATTGAAAAAACTTACATTGTTACCAGTTATAATTGCGATCCTATACGCTGCTTGCATTATTTCTAATATATGTGTAATTCATATTGCAATGCTATCATATACTATTTTTTAAAGCGTTAAGTTAGTGTCGTAATAATACTAAAATCATTGTAGTTATTGTAGACACCCAAGGAAGAAGGCTATTTGGTTTGACTTTGTTTTAAATTCTTGTAGTTTTATTTTAAGTTGCACGCGCAGTTAAGCATTGCTACTGTGGTTTTAACAATCATGGTAAATGTACGACTCCAAATTTCGATTTAAAGCTTTCGTGACTGCAGGGATTCATCTACTGGGTTCTTTCGGTAAAGTCACGTAGAGGGTTCACACAAGCGCTGCCCTTCCGAACAGTCCTGTTTCTTCACCTGTGGAAGGCTACTTTGTGTTGTGGCCGAAACGTCGTGAGAATTTGACTGTTATTTTTTTATCTCCATTCTACGTGACTTTACCGAAAGAACCCAGAAGACGTACGACTCCAGTTTGCCTAGTCAATACTTTAATACATCACCCCAAGTGTGTGTTAAGTTATTGGGATGACTGTAGTTCCTAATGCCGGGGGAGCGGCGGCGCAGTCGCGAACGCAGTTGCGCCCTATCAAGTCGACGAACCCAGCTCGACTCCAGGTCTCGGGCCAACAGAACCGGTCCTGGGGAGGCAACCCGCACCGACGAGCGTGATAAGAGAATGGCCGAAAGCAACCGAAGGACGTGGGCAAGGGAGAAAGAACCTCACTCGGATTTTAAAACCACAGCGGCCCTTTTGACGACGACGCTATGGAACCTCGAGGTCCGCCATTGCTTCCCCCGCTCGTTACCTGCGGGCTCACCAAGAGCCACCACCACCACACCACCACACACCCCCTCATGTTGTGAGATTGCCTCGCACGCACGACGCTCGTGTCTCCTTCACAACGCTCCCCCCCACCACCGCGCGCTCGCAATTAGCAGCCGGGAAATCGCGCCGACGAAGCGTGAGGAAGCAAGAGAGTCCGAGGCGCCTTCACCTGCAAGGCCGCACACAATCCACACGCGCAGCCACATCATCGCGCCCTCTCAGCAAGGGGCTCTTCTTCCCTTCGTTTTACTCCTCGCCACCACCCCCCACCGCCCTTCTTCTCTTCCACCTCCTTTACGACGACTTCGAACGCAACTCGGCGCCACCGCCACCCACCCCCCCTCTCCTTATCGCATTCCGTCGGAGTCGTGGAAACCAGTTGAATGGTCTCGTTTAGAAGTTCACTTGAAACAAACTCCAGCACAGAGGCGTAATGGTTTCTCACTGGGAGGGGGAGTAAACAGGACGAGACCACGCGCACCTGGCGAGGGGAGGGGGGGACAACACCTACATTTCACTTCGTGAGCGGTACAAAACACGAAATAAGGGTCGTCTTTGAAAGCGAGGTAAAGTGGATCGCAGTTTAGATAATTTATTTGTTTTTATGTCCTGTGATGTCGTTGTGATTCGTTAAGCGAGTGTTTCGCGTTACGATGTGATTGATGGTACAGGTGAGTATTGAATGGTTTCGTCCGCCCTCTCGTCTCCTTGCAATGGAGACCGGACACGACCACTCGCTCGTAGGCGGGTGGGGGGGGAGTTGAACGCGTCATTCACTAACCCTTTACGAGACACCTGAACACAGCAGTATAGTGATGCTGAATCTCTCCAAATACAAAAAAAGTAATATTTATTTTACGAAATGTATTTGTTTACCTCATATTTGCGTAAAAAAATGCAATCACCGTGAGATTAATCGTATAGGTATGTGTGGAATGGTTTCGTCCATCGGCAACACTTAAGTGTGAGGCGCGACCATTACTCCGTGACGGGGGGGGGGAGAGGAAGTTGGCTAAAGTTTACCTCGAGCGTAAGTTAACCTCAAGCCCTTGACCACATTGAAGCTAGATATTTACAAAAGGTTATATTTAAATATCGCTTCATATTTTCATCCAAGTGAATGTATTTTACGCGCGCTTGTTGGGCTATATACTTTCACCTAATCCCCAGACGCTGTGTCACAGGTAAACGCGTCCCGCGGGCCACTCCGCTCCTGCCGCGCGCCAGGGCGTTGGTCAGGGGAGGGCGACCGCGGGATGACGTCACGCAGTGACGTCAAAGATCCACCTCCACGGGCTCCCATAATGCAACGCGGGCGAGTGTTGCAGGGGAGGGTAGGGGTCAAAGGTGACGAGTACAGTTTTTTTTATCGCATAGCACAGAAGGGCAATTGCCCGAAACGTCGCCTGTTATAGTGTTCCAAATAAACAAAAACATTTGTCATTTCCCGTATTGAAACGGCTGTACGCCGTGTGGACCCGAAAACTCAATTTCCCCTGTACAACAATACGGTGTAAACCGTATGGGTTGACAGAAATTAAATCACATCTCACTGCAACACATTTGAAAAGGGCACCCCTCTCCCCAGTGGCAGCTGTCCCTGTGCGGCCACAACAAGGTCTCTCTCAGCACATTGACTGACACACGGGAATTCATCACTTTGTGTCATCCCAATTGCGTTGTTTGTGGGTAATTTTTTACACAAATGTGGCACATTTTTTGACCCTGAGGCCGACACGCAATGACGCCGGGCCTTCGTTAACGTCCATCGTGAAGCAGCTGGCGCGTAGTGTTAAGGTCGTGATGCCCGCAGTACTAATCGTAGTGTTAAGGTCGTGATGCCCGCAGTACTAATCGTAATGTTAAGGTCGTGATGCCCACAGTACTAATCGTAGTGTTAAGGTCGTGATGCCCGCAGTACTAATCGTCGTGTTAAGGTCGTGATGCCCACAGTACTAATCGTAGTGTTAAGGTCGTGATGCCCGCAGTACTAATCGTAGTGTTAAGGTCGTGATGCCCACAGTACTAATCGTAGTGTTAAGGTCGTGATGCCCACAGTACTAATCGTAGTGTTAAGGTCGTGATGCCCACAGTACTAATCGTAGTGTTAAGGTCGTGATGCCCGCAGTACTAATCGTAGTGTTAAGGTCGTGATGCCCGCAGTACTAATCGTAGTGTTAAGGTCGTGATGCCCGCAGTACTAATCGTAGTGTTAAGGTCGTGATGCCCACAGTACTAATCGTAGTGTTAAGGTCGTGATGCCCACAGTACTAATCGTAGTGTTAAGGTCGTGATGCCCACAGTACTAATCGTAGTGTTAAGGTCGTGATGCCCACAGTACTAATCGTAGTGTTAAGGTCGTGATGCCCGCAATACTAATCGTAGTGTTAAGGTCGTGATGCCCGCAGTACTAATCGTAATGTTAAGGTCGTGATGCCCGCAGTACTAATCATCGTGTTAAGGTCGTGATGCCCACAGTACTAATCGTAGTGTTAAGGTTGTGATGCCCGCAGTACTAATCGTCGTGTTAAGGTCGTGATGCCCGCAGTACTAATCGTAGTGTTAAGGTCGTGATGCCCGCAGTACTAATCGTAGTGTTAAGGTCGTGATGCCCGCAGTACTAATCGTAGTGTTAAGGTTGTGATGCCCGCAGTACTAATCGTAATGTTAAGGTCGTGATGCCTGCAGTACTAATCGTAGTGTTAAGGTCGTGATGCCCGCAGTACTAATCGTAGTGTTAAGGTTGTGATGCCCGCAGTACTAATCGTAGTGTTAAGGTCGTGATGCCTGCAGTACTAATTGTAGTGTTAAGGTCGTGATGCCCGCAGTACTAATCGTAGTGTTAAGGTCGTGATGCCCGCAGTACTAATCGTAGTGTTAAGGTCGTGATGCCTGCAGTACTAATCGTAGTGTTAAGGTCGTGATGCCCGCAGTACTAATCGTAGTGTTAAGGTCGTGATGCCCGCAGTACTAATCGTAGTGTTAAGGTCGTGATGCCCGCAGTACTAATCGTAGTGTTAAGGTCGTGATGCCCGCAGTACTAATCGTAGTGTTAAGGTCGTGATGCCCGCAGTACTAATCGTAATGTTAAGATCGTGATGCCCGCAGTACTAATCGTAGTGTTAAGGTCGTGATGCCCGCAGTACTAATCGTAGTGTTAAGGTCGTGATGCCCGCAGTACTAATCGTAGTGTTAAGGTCGTGATGCCCGCAGTATTAATCGTAGTGTTAAGGTCGTGATGCCCGCAGTACTAATCGTAGTGTTAAGGTCGTGATGCCCGCAGTACTAATCGTAGTGTTAAGGTCGTGATGCCCGCAGTACTAATCGTTGTGTTAATGGTTGTGATTCCCGCAGTACTAATCGTAGTGTTAAGGTCGTGATGCCCGCAGTACTAATCGTCGTGTTAAGGTCGTGATGCCCGCAGTACTAATCGTAGTGTTAAGGTCGTGATGCCCGCAGTACTAATCGTAGTGTTAAGGTCGTGATGCCCGCAGTACTAATTGTAGTGTTAAGGTTGTGATGCCCGCAGTACTAATTGTAGTGTTAAGGTCGTGATGCCCGCAGTACTAATCGTAGTGTTAAGGTCGTGATGCCCGCAGTACTAATCGTAGTGTTAAGGTTGTGATGCCCGCAGTACTAATCGTAGTGTTAAGGTTGTGATGCCCGCAGTACTAATCGTAGTGTTAAGATTGTGATGCCCGCAGTACTAATCGTAGTGTTAAGGTGGTGATGCCCGCAGTACTAATCGCAGTGTTAAGGTCGTGATGCCCGCAGTACTAATCGTAGTGTTAAGGTTGTGATTCCCGCAGTACTAATCGTAGTGTTAAGGTCGTGATGCCCGCAGTACTAATCGTAGTGTTAAGGTCGTGATGCCCGCAGTACTAATCGTAGTGTTAAGGTCGTGATGCCCGCAGTACTAATCGTAGTGTTATGGTTGTGATTCCCGCAGTACTAATCGTCGTGTTAAGGTCGTGATGCTCGCAGTACTAATCGTAGTGTTAAGGTCGTGATGCCCGCAGTACTAATCGTCGTGTTAAGGTCGTGATGCCCGCAGTACTAATCGTAGTGTTATGGTTGTGATTCCTGCAGTACTAATCGTCGTGTTAAGGTTGTGATGCTCGCAGTACTAATCATAGTGTTAAGGTCGTGATGCCCGCAGTACTAATCGTCGTGTTAAGGTCGTGATGCCCGCAGTACTAATCGTAGTGTTAAGGTCGTGATGCCTGCAGTACTAATTGTAGTGTTAAGATCGTGATGCCCGCAGTACTAATCGTAGTGTTAAGGTCGTAATGGCTGCAGTACTAATCGTAGTGTTAAGATCGTGATGCTTGCAGTACTAATCGTAGTGTTAAGGTCGTAATGGCTGCAGTACTAATCGTAGTGTTAAGGTCGTGATGCCCGCAGTACTAATTGTCGTGTTAAGGTCGTGATGCCCGCAGTACTAATCGTAGTGTTATGGTTGTGATTCCCGCAGTACTAATCGTCGTGTTAAGGTTGTGATGCTCGCAGTACTAATCGTAGTGTTAAGGTCGTGATGCCCGCAGTACTAATCATCGTGTTAAGGTCGTGATGCCCGCAGTACTAATCGTAGTGTTAAGGTCGTGATGCCTGCAGTACTAATCGTAGTGTTAAGGTTGTGATGCCCGCAGTACTAATCGTAGTGTTAAGGTCGTAATGGCTGCAATACTAATCGTAGTGTTAAGATCGTGATGCTTGCAGTACTAATCGTAGTGTTAAGGTCGTAATGGCTGCAGTACTAATCGTAGTGTTAAGGTCGTGATGCCCGCAGTACTAATCGTAGTGTTAAGGTTGTGATGCCCGCAGTACTAATCGTAGTGTTAAGGTTGTGATGCCCGCAGTACTAATCGTAGTGTTAAGGTTGTGATTCCCGCAGTACTAATCGTAGTAAGGTCGTGATGCCCGCAGTACTAATCGTCGTGTTAAGGTCGTGATGCCCGCAGTACTAATCGTAGTGTTAAGGTTGTGATGCCCGCAGTACTAATTACAGTGTTAAGGTCGTGATGCCCGAAGTACTAATCGTAGTGTTAAGGTCGTGATGTCCGCAGTACTAATTGTAGTGTAAAGGTTGTGATGCCCGCAGTACTAATTACAGTGTTAAGGTCGTGATGCCCGCAGTACTAATCGTAGTGTTAAGGTTGTGATGCCCGCAGTACTAATCTGGGCTGGCCACTGCAATCGAACCTCTACGACAAATGGGGCCGTGTCATTGGTTATTCGGGACAATGTTTTTATCAGAGACCATAATACAGGTTTTTTTTTGGGGTTAGATCGCATACATATGTAGAGGAGTAGTGTGATGACATCATGTCATGGGTGCTGTAAGGGGATACCTTCGGGAACAGGGGCGGGTCCGAGTGAAGGGGAGGAGCCGCCCAAGGGGTACTTAAGGGAGACCCCGTGACGAAGGCGTGGTCGTTGTGGGAGCCCGGAGTGTGGATCGGCTGCAGGAGGTCTCTCCCGCTCGTGACCCCGGACGGTGTTGGCTGAACCCCCGTCCGGGGTCAACGAATGGGAGAGCTGAAGAGATAGCCGAGAGTAGGGCTCGAAGAAGTCTGTGAGAATTGGCTGAGACTGAGTGGGGTTCTTCTCTCCTCAGTCGGGCGGTGTTGGATGAACCCCCGTCCGGGGTCAACGAGTGGGAGAGCCGAAGAGATAGCCAAGGTTAGGACGAGTAGAGCTCGGGGGTCCATGGGAATGACCGAGTATAGAGAACAGCTACCACCCCTGGTGTGAGCCTGAGTGTTGTTTGAACAGTGTTGATAAACGGCGAAAGCCCTTCCAAGAAGTTCCGCCTCCGTGTGGTTATACGACGCAACATATATAAATGTGTCGTTAAACCCGCCACCACCCGACACAGCCAATTAGTAAGGTTTGTCAACGTAAACGGAACATGCCAATTCGTCACTAGTACAGCACCCACCGGTGTGTTGGAGGGCAAAGCCACAACATTTACAAGCTGAGTACGACGTTTCGGCAGTTACTACAACTAGCTTCATCGGGTGAGAGTCAGATTTGTGAAGTCCTCTTCATTTATATATTTACATGCTCTAACCCCCCCAAAAAAACCTGTATTATGGATGATATTGGTCGCAAAAGCCGACGTCTTAAACTTATTAGAGACCATCAGCAGGGTTTTGTGAATGTTCATGCGTTGTTTTTTTGGGTCGTGGTCGTGCACGCCTGTAATCCAACACTGGAAGGCGACGTTTGGCAGATCACACAAGTGTTGTGA